AAAAAAATTGTATATATGAAATAAATTACTGAAGAAATCAAGACAGAATTCCTTTCTTGACTTGGACCTCATTCTTAAACAGATAACTCGAAACAAAACAGCAGAATGTTAATGAGCCTGATACGTTGAAGTGGTAGCGTGTATTGTGAATAAAGCAATTAGTGACCTGTGCTAGAAAGAGAGTCTTCAGATGCTTCTCCAGGAATGTGATGCTTAAAGTGAACTTGATAAACTTTTTTATCATTTATCATATCTGCACAGTTTAAGCCACGAAAACAGGAAAAAGTCTATAGAAGATCACACCGCCCAACCCAAAGTCAGTCCACTGGCTTAACAGTTACTTTCTTTGTTTGGCGAGCATAAAAATGAGGCAATCTGAACAAAATTGGTGGTCGTGTACAATAATCTGAAACTGAAACTTGGGTGACATCGGTAACAATGTCTGTTTTATCCACTTGTCACGTGACATTTTGGTTGTAGAAATGAACTACATTAACTCTATTTACCATACTTGTATGCTCAAATGACTATGGTTACATCCTGCTTTGGAGCTGGTGGTCTAGTATTGCACAGCTTCCAATAAATACCAAATAAACTAGAGAGAATTGTTTGAATGTATCCAATGTTATCTTGGGCAGTCGATGAACAAACAGCAAGGCATTGAAGGCTAAGATAAGATAAGATAACAGACATGCTATCCCCTATTCCTTAGTACATCACATAACCCTGTTTCAATCCACTGTGTTTACGTTAATTTTGTTTGCTTGGTGAGTATTAGAACAAGGCATGGAAACAATGAAAACAAAGATAGTTAATGGTTTATAATAATGTTCTAAAGTCCTAAATGGAGATAATAAGCATGAATATCGAGAAATGAAAGGTAGCGTGCATGTTTCCTCTGATAAGAGTTTACGTTAGCATGACAGTACAGACAGCGCTGTTGCTATCACCTCCCAAAATCCCAAGACTATAAGAAGCGAGAAGTCATTTGGCTGTGTCACGCAATGCTTTACCGAAGAAAAGAAAAGCTGGCGAAAGAAAAGTCTGTCTTGATTTCTTCAGTAATTTATTTCATGTATACTATATCTTTTTTTCTATTTTTATTTTTTTCCACTTTTTTTTAAAGTTACCCTCAACCCTCGACATGGTACCCTTGACTCTCAACATTTTACCCTCGACTCTCGACCCTTGACAATTAGATACACTCCTGCTGAATGGGTTTGACCGCTGGAAGGGGACATCTTTGGCTTGGTCATGATTTTTATTATTTAATCTCTAACTTCCAGAATCAGACTC